ACAGGAAGTCCTGGGGAAGAAAGTTGCCCTGTCCACTAAGGTTAGCTGAGGAAAAGCTTAGATTCACAGATCTCCTTATGATATATCATCTGCGGTAGAGAGCCCTTTCCATGACAGAGACAACCATCAGAACCACCTGTCCATCAAAATGTCCCCCACCCCACTATAGAGTTGTTTCCCAGCCTCACCCCCTTGCATTCAGCAGGACCTCCTGACTGGACTCTGCCAGGCGCTGGAAGTCAATGCAGAAGCCCAGCCTAGGGGAAAGGCAGAGGCACACGCAAAGGGGGTCCAGGCCCTTGAGGGAGACCCACCTGCTGACAGAAACACAGATCTCAGACTACTGAGAATAAGATAAAAGATTCTAGACTTTCAGCCCCCCTATTTGGATACTTTTGATTTTAGTAGCCAGCTTGGCCCTGACTAAAATACTTCCCAGGACATTTTAATGAAAATCAGGATTATCAAAACAATTGCAATAGGGATACTTTTGGAATGGACTGGGAATTTGGATGAATAAAGAGCCTCTAAGAATAAATCACCAAGATTTGACCAGCCATCCTTCTTTAGGAAATTAGTATGCAGATATACTCTCATGTACAGATTTGATTTAGATATAAATCTAGATATTAATTGCACCTGGATTTGTAGTAATAAAAAACTAGAAACTGAGTGTTCCCTCGTGAGGGTTGCCTAAGTAAACATTGATGTATGTTTTATATATAGCAGAAAGCTAGACCCTTCCTAAATCCAGGAGGCAAATCTAGATGGTCTTGTAAGGAGTATTTTCCTAAATACATTCGTATGCAAGAAAGCAAGGTGTGGAAGGCTGATTGCATCCTAGGGAAGTGTTTAAGAAGAAGGGAAGAATATGCATCTGCCATTTTTATATGGGTAAGAATTTTTTTTTAGAGAACACCCAGTAAACTGGTTGTAGTGGTTGTTTTCTGAAAGGGAAAGGTTGGGGAGGCACCCACTCTTCACTGAACACCCTTTATATCACTTGGGTGTTTCCATGCTTATTCATTAATTATATAAAAGAAAAAAATCAGGCCTGTGCATGCTGGTTCATATGAAGTTAAATGAGCGAGTATAATATTAAATCACAGGTGTGCCACCTCAGTGAGGAGCCAGGCCAGATTCCAAGTCAACTCTCATTCAAATAATTAGTTGTGTACCCTCCATTTATTGCCCAACAGGTTCAGTCTTGATCATATCCCATTACAGAGGGTTTGGTGTTTATTTTTAGTGTTTCTTTATGGACATTTATTAAAGGATTACGGGCAGTTGCTAAACATTGTTAGTGAATCCATTTTGCAAAAGAAATTCCCCCTGGTCCCCTTCCAAGACTTCAGATCAGGATTCAATAAAGTCAGGAGCCCGTAGAGTCACCTGAGGTGTGTCTCCACCCTGCAGGCCTGGACCACAGTATATCTGGGTGTTCCAGCACATCTGAGTGGTGCCCCAGCACGTGGGCTTCAACAAATTCCCTCAGAGCGTCTGAAGCGCTCTCTAGGTTAGAGCACCTACAGAGAGGTCAAAAAAGCAAGAACAAAATTACATACTCCATACAGCTTAATCCAACTGTGTCAGTCAGGGTCTGAACAGAGCAAAAGAAGCAACTTTGGGGATTTCAGCAAATGTAACACAGGGAACTTGATACCAGGTGGTAAAAGCTGAGAAGCCAAGTGGGATGATTAGAACACCTGGAAGCCACTGTCTTCCCTCACCCTGGGGTAGGATACGGAGAACAAAGGGAAGGGTGATGTTCTCAGACATAGATATCAGGGGCCAGTCACTGGCAGAAGTTGAGGCCATTAGGTCCCTTCTATGGGATCTGGAGCTAGGGAAGAGATAGAGCCACTGCCACTAAAATACGGAGGGGACAGTGGGAAATATTTGGCTTCTTACTTCTATCCATTAACCAGAACTAAAAGGAAGCTAGACGTCCCAGAAGCCTGGAAAAGAAACAAGGTTAGTCTTCCTCAGTATGTCGAGCTGAGCAGAGGGCCAACAAACCTGGGACCTGTCAGCCTTGATTATCATTTCCCATAATATGTTTTGAGTAGAGAGGCTGTTGACACCTGTACTTTTGCAAATGTAAAGCCCTGAGTTAGTCATCATTGCTAATCTTTGTCTAGAAAAATAAGGGAAGTTTAAAAATAACAGTTTCATCAAAGTTAAATGGAATCTATAATTTTTCTATATTCTGACATCATATCACATTTTCGTCTGTGTTTTTACTGAAAAGGGAAACACTTTCCTGAACAAAGATTTGCATTTTTAGTATCTTCCAAAGCAACCTCAGTTTTCCATCTTCCATTCACCCATCCCTGCCTTCCTACACACCAGGCAAGGTTGTAGATGCTGTACCCAAGCAAGAAAATAAGCAAGATTTCTTGCCGTGAGAACTTTTTTAGTGAACAATGAATGATTGCTGCGGGAAAGTGCATTTGTTAACATGTTTATCATGGAAAAAAACATTGGTCCCTTGATAGACTATTTTATTAAGGATATCTTTGCTCATAAAACTTATGATAGTTAACTCAGTCAATATGTCCTCATTATTTTTGTTACTATAGACATTGCTAGGGGAAAAAATGCTGTATTCTCTTCATAATTTAAGAAAACATCTGGAAGTCTCCTGCCAGACATTATTTAAGCAAGGAAATAATTTAATAGATTGGCCATCTTAGTTAGATACTGTAAGAAAGGCTCCACAGAGCCTTCAGAGAGTCCCTCTCCACAGAGAGTCCCAGGAAAGAACATCTTCAGATAAGGGAAAGAACTCTTCAAGATGGCGGGCCAGATCAGGGAAAGCAACATTGCCTTTGACTCTGCCCCTTGCTGTGGCCTAGTTTAGGAAGACCTGGGCTTACCCAAGCAATAGCAAGGAGGCCGAGCTGCCTGAGCAATGCAGGGCGGGGCAGAGGTAAGTTTCACCCCATAGGCACCGAGTTACATCCGGTTCTTGCCAGCCTCAGGGACTCACCCCCACAGTTCCTGGGGCTAGAATTGCCTCACCCATCCTCACTTGCTGCCTCCTTCCCAGCTCTTTATGCAAACAGGTCCTGCTGTGGGAGGCCGTCCTCACCGGGCTTCAGTTATATGATCTTTGGAGATCTTATCACAATCAAGAAATGGCACTGCTGACTGGATAACAATCACGTGTTACTTAAGAACAGGGATGTGTCCTGAAAAGGATTTGATTAGACAATTTTGTCATCGCTTGACTGTCATAGAGTATTCTCACACACACTTAGGTGGTGGAAGTCAACCACGGGATGCAGCCCTACCAGGACAGTGAGGCTGCACACACACGGCGGACTGTCTTGCAGTAAACTTTATTTAAGAAGTAGAAAGAGTACACTCTAAAATGACAGTAAAAAGAATAATACACAAACCGTTAACATAACTTTTCTTATTTTTATCAAGTATTAGATACTGTATATAATTGTATGTGTGAGGCTGGAGTGTAGCTCAGTGATAGACTGTTTGCCTGGCATGTGCAAGACTCTGGTTTGATCCCGGCACTGAAAAAAAAAAAAACCTGTTTAATTTCCACAATTGTATGTGTAATATTTTGATACAACTGTCAGCCAGTAGGTTTATTTACACAGGACACATGAGGATGAGCAGTTTTGAAGTCCCTGGGCAGTAGGAATTTTTCTGTCAATGACCAAAATGCTACAGGAGTGGACTTCAGTAGACTGCCACCCTGACCTTCAGACAGGCAGTACATCTGTCTGGAGAGCTGATGTACCTCCAGGCCTAGCACAGGGCCTGGCACACTGTGAGCACAAGAATAAGTCATTGCTGAAGGGATAAGCACACTCTTAGAGGAGCAGCAGGGGAAGTTCCAGTGGTGACACAAGACATATCTATTGAAGGCCAACTATGTATCAAGCACTAGGCCAAGTCAGTCATTGGGGGGTACCTCAAACAAAGAGATTTTTTTAAATCCTTAGTTCCATGGGGACTTATTAAAAGTAAGGGGGTGGAGGAAAGATATCTATTTGAATGTCTTTCTGAACACATAGGAAGACAGAGATACTAAGACACAGACACACAATACGTGACAAGTGGCAAGTTCTAAGAGGAAAGATAAAGTACACAGGGGCGAGGGGGGTGAGACGGGGAGCACCGGCGCGAGGAGGAGGGGGCTTGCTGTACTAGCAAGGGCCAGACAAGGCAGAGTCCCTAAGGCTGCGGATTGGAATCAAGACCCGCAGGGGTCAGGGCGGTGGCAGGTGGGTGCAGAACGAAGAGAAAGCACCAGCGCTCCGGGCTGGAGGGAATGGGCTGCAGGAGGAGAAAGTAGGAAAAGAGGAGGCCGGGCGGGTGAGGACACATCAGGGAGCGCAGTGTCCTCAGAGTGTGGACACCACCCACATCGGGGACCTCACCTGGGAACTTAGAAATGCTCGTTCTCGGGCCTAACCTCAGACCTACTGAATCAGAAACGCTTTGGAAGGACAAGCCTCCTAGCGACTGTGGAGCGCGATAAAGTTGGAGGGCCCTGGACTAGGATCTTCCGCGTTACGACCCGAGTTACCATTCCTCTCATCATCCACCTGGCCACGGTCCTCTTGATTGTACCAGCCGGGCAGGGGCCCCACCCAGCGCTCTGAGGATTTGCCCAGCGCCACGTCCCGCCAGGTCCTCCAAGGCCCGCCACCCCGCGCCCCCACCCCATCTGCAGCCTGCAGCGGTCTCCCGCAAGCCACCCGGGCGTCCCGGGACAGTGCCACCGCACCGCAGCCTAGGGGCCAGACGCCCGGGGCGGCAGGTGCAAAGGCGGAGGGTGGCGGCGTCCGGCGAGAACCGCAGGGGTGCGACCTGTCCTCCTGGGGCCGCCTGCCCACACCGGACGCGCTCGGCCACCCAGAACCCGGGGGGTTTCCGCGGCCTGGGATCGGGATGGGCCGCCGCTTCCCCGGGGAGCGCTGATGCAGAGCCAGGTTGGGGCGGCCGGCCCGGCCAGCGCCCTCTAGGCAGCGGAAGTGGAGCTTGCTTTACATCCGTCCTCCCCGCCTCGCAGAGTTGGGAGAAGGAAGGTTGGGGGGTGTGGAAAAAAATAAAAGGAAAAGTCCTTGCACCATGTAGAGCAGCGCCCCCCGCCCTGGCACCGCAGCCGGCCGGGGACCTCCCAGTCTGCGGCCATGAACGCGAGCGGCGAAGGCGAGAGCTTCCCCGGCTCGGTGCAAAGTAAGTGCTTTTCCGGGCGCAGTGCGCGCTCCAGGGCCCAGTGCGCGCTCCGGGGCCCGGGCCCAAGCACGTCTGCGACGCAGCCACCAGGCCCGGGGCCCCGAAATCGGGGTGACGGCGGCGAGCCGCGTCTCGGGGAGCCGGCGGGCGCGGTGCAGGGGGCGCCCGAGTGGGCTTGGGGTGGGGGCGCGCCCGAGCTGGAGCCAGACTGGGGGAGCCCTCCAGCGCTGCGAGACCCCCGGGAAGGGAGCGTGGGGGAGGGCGTGCGGTCAGACAATCGCACCTCTCGGTGCATTCCCGCCCCGCCAGGCAGAGTTTGGGACTCGGGGAAGGAAGAGGGGAACCCGGGTAACCAGGGCAACCCTGATGGGGAAACTTCTGCCTCGGTGGCTCAAATTTGGATTCTAGGAATTGGAGAGTCTCACGAGGTCTTGACGGCGCATTGCAAAGCCTTTTCCACATTAAAGGTGGGGATTTGAATGGGAAACGGGCTGGGGTCGCTGTTTTTGAGTTTGGGGTTCCTTTTTATTATCCTGTTGAGGACGTCAACCTTTTTAAGTCCCCAGTATCGCCCGATGCTTTGTTTCCCAAAGTGTGGTTCGGGGGCTGAACTCAAACCAACCACCTGGGAGCGAGAGTGCGTATTTAAAAGGAGCTTTCTGCGCCCCACCCAGCTGATCTCGGGGTGGGGCCAGTGATCTGTACCAGCTGTCTGGGTGATTCTGAAGCACAGGAAGTTTTGAGAACCCTGGCCTGGCGCAAGGGTTTGCAGACACCTGGCACATAGTAAGTGCTCAACTTGTTAGCCGTTACAGTTTGGGAGACATTGACTCTCAAACTTGGCTGGGTATTTCTGCATAATTTATGAAAAGAACAGATTTTCCTAAACCCCAGCCCCTCACTCCCAGACCATTATAACTCAGTATCTCCTAAGTGGGGTTCAGTTATGTCCTTGTTTGAAGAGTAATGACCCCACCAGGTCACAGGCTTGGGGAGAAGGGGTGCTGGCCTTTTACCAGCACCATCTCATTTAATCTTCCCAACAACCCTAGTAAGTGGAAAGATCTCCTCTCTCCATTTTGTAGAAAAGCCAAGTCCAAAGTCACTTTGGTAAGTGAGAGTGTCAAGATTCTAATGCGGTCTAGTTTGTTCCTTGTGCGCTTCCACATGCCAGCAACATTGTTTGGTATTCAAACTCCTTTATCTTGGGGATCAGCCCTGCTCCATCATTAAGGAATCCTCAGCAGTGCAGGTCACTGTATTTCCCAGTCCTTGTTCACCTGTTAGTCCCATGCAGGTGATTCAGTAGCTGCAGGGAGACTGTTTCCTTCCTTCCAGCCACGAATTTCAAAGGACTTCAGTGCATAGGGCCCTCTGCAAGATGACTGATGTCACCGTGCTCAGCAGTCTCTCTCCTGAGCAAGTCAGCCAAATTGTGTTTCTGCACAGAGACTTGTTGTCTTAGACATGGAGAAAATTAGACATCATGTAAATATCTTATTTTCAGAAAATTATAGTGCATGGATACCAATCATCTATGCACAAAGGTAGTCTTGTACTCTTTAACTTGGGGAAAGTGAAAATAATGTAAATACCTTATTTTTGCAGAGATTATATACTGCACAGGCACCGTGGAATAATGTGTTGCCATTAAGTAATTATACCTATAAAGAGATTATTATGGTATAGCACCATGTTAATGTAATATCATGTAGGAAGTTCTGTAAACATTAGTTCTATAATATATCATGATCATGTGCAATTTTTAATTGTAAAGAAAATATATTTGTAATGTTCATGGGAGATACAGATGGAAAAAATATACTTCTTTATGTTTCTTCCAAATCTTCTTTTATAAACATGAGTTTTCTCATAATAATGCAAAGAAAATTTTTAAACAAAAATTGAGATTCTCATATTAGGGACATTAATTATATACCTTATTTAACAAATATTTAGATAGTACTTTCTAATATAGGGCCATATAATACTGTATTAATATTTGCTAAATGCTTTGCAAATATTAACACAGTATTAACTCTTGGTTTTTACTATGGTAAAGAAGCAATGCCCCTGTCATTTAGGAATGAATTTTGGCTACAAGTAACAGAAACTTGAAGTACCCTGGCCTAACAAGAAGTCTGGGATTAGTTGATTCTAGAACCAAATTAGGGGATCAGTGAAGTAAGAGCCAAAATCAATAAGAATCTTAGCATTGTCCTCATATTTACAAGATGGCTGCAGAAGCCCCAACTGCACATCTTCATTGAAAGCCAAAAGAAGGGGCTGGGGATGTGGCTCAAGCGGTAGCGCGCTTGCCTGGCATGCGTGCGGCCCGGGTTCGATCCTCAGCACCACATACAAACAAAGATGTTGTGTCTGCCGATAAGTAAAAAATAAATATTAAAATTCTCTCTCTATCTCTATCTCTCTCCCTCTCTCACTCTCTCTTTAAAAAAAAAAAAAAGAAAGAAAGCCAAAAGAAGAGGGAACAGTGCCAATTTTTTCTGCACCCTTTTTATCATGAATGCTAACTGTTCCCCAGAAACTCTTCCAGCTGTGTGCTGGAAGGGCTCAACAAATATGTAGGGGACCAAGATTATTTTGGCTAATGGTTCTTATGGTGGTGGTTGTTTGGGTATGTGGGGGGACTGGTTTTCATAATAACCATTTAGTTGGGATAGGAGGTGGCTGCTGCTTCCTGCAAAGTGACAGAAAGCCCTGCACATCAAAGAACTTCCTTGTAGAAAGGCACCCGGGGCAACAGGTCATCCTGAGCCATCCCTTGGATCTGGGTAACTGTGGCTAGGACAGCTGGGATTCTATCTGCAAGAAAGAAGAAGGGTTTGAGGGTTTTGGCCTGGCAAGTGGCCAGGTCTGCCACGCTGCCCCTTTTCCTACCAGGAATCAGGTTTGCAATGTAATTTAAAGCTGTTTGGAATTAATCGGTGACTCTCCCTTTGTCCCATGGAGTTCCCGGCAGCACAACCGTGCTGGTTGAACTGACCCCGGACATCCACATCTGCGGCATCTGCAAGCAGCAGTTTAACAACCTAGATGCCTTTGTAGCTCACAAGCAGAGCGGCTGCCAGCTGACCAGCACGACGGGAACGGCCCCCGGCACAGTCCAGTTTGTATCGGAGGAAACGGTGCCTGCCACCCAGACTCAGACCACCACCAGAACCATCACTTCAGAGACCCAGACGATCACAGGTACAGCTGGGGGTCTCTGGGCTAGGGGTGGCCTGGCTACCTCCCAAACACCTTCCTGGAACTTGTTAAAAATACCTTGCTGGGGCCCAACCCCTGGGGTTGTAGATTCATTATTTTTAACAAGCTCCACTGGGAAGCCAGCTGCCCAGCCAGGTTTGGGAGCTGCTAGGTTAAAGCAGTAAGTGTTAGCAGTTAGAAATGTTGTCACATGTTAAGCAAGACAGACAAAAAACAGGTTTCAAAACCAAAACTAAATATACTAAGAAAAAGGTACTTGCAGAAAATATGTCACAGCGAAATAAGTGGTTTTCTTTGACCGTGGGTGTACATGTATGAGCCGTGAGCTTGCATTACTCGAGTGAAGGAAGGAAAAACATATTGTTTTTGTTTTTTTGCATTTTAATATACAAACCGGCATCAGTGTTTCCCTTTCTTGTGCTACAGACTAAGAAAACAGAAAAGCCCATCCCTGCCCTCCATTGCGTCCACTCTGCCAAAACAAACTACAGACAGGTCAAAAATTTAAATGTACAAAGTGAAGCCGGGCACAGTGGCACGTGCCTGTAATCCCAGTGGCCCAGGAGGCTGAGGCAGGAAGATCCCAAGTTCAAAGCCAGCCTCAGCAACTTAGCAAGGCCCTAAGCAACTCAGCAAGACCCTATCTCAAAATAAAATATAAAAAGGGCTGGGATATGACTCTGTGGTTATATGTCTCTGGGTTCAATACCTGGTACCAAAATAAACAAACAAACAACCAACATGAAACTACTAAAATAAATATAATACACACAGAGATGCACGTACACACCCGCACATGGACCTATAATCCCGTACTTAGATTTATTATCTATCTAATCTGTCTTAAGGAACCAGACAGAAAGAGTTTAAAGCAAGCCATTAATGAGAAACTTACAAACAACTCTAGGTCCTATAGGGAAATGGAGAAGGCATGAGTTAAAGGCATTCAAATACAAATTGAAAAAATATATTAATGGGCTTAACCAAGAAGGCAGGTTGTGGACCACCCCCCCCCATGAAGAAAGAGTCATAAATGTGATTAGAAATGAGGTCACAGCTTTCCCAAAGTAAAAAACAAGTCTAAAGATGAACAAACAACCTGGAAAAAAAAAAATTTATAGCATGTGTGACTAAGACCCAGCATCCTTTCTAGACAAAGAGCCCCGGAGACGCGGTCACCTCAGAGTCAAAGGACAAATAGATGAGGGAGGGAGGGGCAGCAGTGTGTGCTCTGGGGAGGTAAATTCATAAAACCTGGGCAGTTTTGATATCCTTGGGATTTTCAACCTTAAATCTCTCAGTTTGATGATCTACCTAAACGCATTGACTCGTGAGCCTAGGACAGGTATTGGTCCTGTAAGAGGGTGCCCGGGTACAATAGGTTCCACTGAGAAAGGGTGGAGCTTTGGCGCGGATGTGAGAGTCAGAGTAGAGGTCGCAGTGCAGTGTGACTTAGCCTGGGAAAGGGGAGCCAGGCCTGTGTGCAGACGTAAAAAGATTCTTGAGGTTAGTGCAAAAAAAAAAACAACTCTGCATTTGTGTCGGGTCGCACTGTACTCAAGGGAAGCTTCTGGAATGGGGATGAGACAGGTGCCGTAAATGAGATCGCAAGGCTGCGTGGGAGGCACTGGAATGTCGCGGGGACTGTAGTCTCGGGGACTGTGGTCATGGGGGAAGGAGATCACACAGGGCTCCTCCCCAAGTGCAGCAGCTCTTTGAATCCAGGTGGTTAAATATCTAGATTTTTCAGAAAAATCGAAAAGTGTGAAATTTCTCAATTTTAAAACTCTGTTGGCCAAACAGATTACATCAACAAGGCTAAGTCAGCCCACAGGCTATTCTAGCTTTTTCTAAATGTTTACCAAAGAGATCACCTGGAGTCAAGGGGGGGGAGCATTTGAAAGTAGGGGAACCAACTTTCACTGATGAGCTGTATGATGTGTGATGTTCAAAGCTTTTGGCAATCAGCAATATTTTGTGAATCCAAAATAATGTTTCTTGGTTTGGGGCTTTTTTTTTTTTGAAACTAGGGATTGAACCCAGGAGTGCTTGACCACTGAGCAACATCCCACCCTTTTTTTATATTTTACTTAGAGATGGTCTCACTGAGTTGCTTAGGGCCTCACTAACTTGGTAAGGCTGGCTTTGAACTTGGAGTCCTCCTGCCTCGGCCTCCCAAGCCTCTGGGATTACAGGCCTGCACTAACACACCAGGCCCAAAATAATGCTTCTACTGAGTTTTTAAGACATCAAAATAATCACTTCACAAACCTTCATTAAAGAAACTTGAGGTCACCCCACTCTCTCCAGAGTTTCTTAATTCTCATTCTCAAGGAAGTGACCAAGAAAATGTGAAAGCTAGAGTATGGTGTGGTGGTGTACACCTGTCATCCCAGCAGCTTGGGAGGCTGAGGCAGGAGAATCATGAGTTCAAAGCCAGCCTCAGCAAAGATGAGGCCCTAAGCAACTCAGTGAGACCCTTTCTCTAAATAAAATACACAATAGGGCTGGGGATGTGGCTCAGTGGTCAGGTGCCCTGAGTTCAATCTCCAGTATCAAAACAAAAAAAGAAAATGTGAAAGCTAGAAATCACCTTGGGGATGAGCCAGGTGCTTCTTATTTTTACAGCGGGGGGAGGGAAATCAAGCAACTGTGCGTGTGGGGGAAGAGGCAGGGCCACTGTCCCCCACTGTCTCAGTCCTGGGATGTGAGTGTGTTCCCCTTCCTCTAGTGTTCTACTTCTTGAAGAGTCAGTGCTTTTCCTATCCTCAAAAGCTCAGTCCCAGTAACGCACATGCTGTGAACCCAGTCAGCCACTCGATGGCCCTTACCTGTGGGCCGGTCACTTCCTGTCTCGCTCACTGCCATCTGTCAGAAGAGGGGCAAGACCTGATGGGCCACTGTGAGGCTTCTGTAATGGTTCACATAAGGGCCAGGACCAAGTCCGTGGGTTCAGTGACCACTCTGTCACTCCTGCAGGCATCAGTGAAGGGACAGTGCCACCCACCCTGCGTCTCTTCTCCACCTGGCTCAGCGGCTCCTCCCATTGTGTCTGCTCCAGGGCCCGCTACTCAAGCAGCATGCTGCTGTCTTTTCCCTAGAAGGTTTTCTGGGTTCCACTCCCTCAAGTTTGGGCTTCAGGGTTCTATTATCTAGCAGTTCCCAGCCCCTACCTGTGGACCAGGATCCCCCAGGGAGCTTGTTAGAGGTGCCAGTGCCTGGGCGTCACTCCTGAATGAGACACTCAGGCATCTGTATTCTTAACAAGCTCCCCGAGCCAGGTCTCAGCCAGGTTGCAGGGTTACTCACTGCCCAAGGCCACAGTCTGACCCCTGCACAGCCATTGCTGGTAATCCTCATCTGCTCCCAGACTGCTCTGTCCTTGATTGAGCCAAACTCCTCCTCCCTTGGCTCCCACTTCTCCCTGTGTAATAGTTGAATATGAAGTAAAATTGATTCTCTGCCTTCTAGCTTCGAAAGCTGTCTGTTGTTTCACATATGATTTAATAACTTTCACCTAGGAGAAATAAAAATATATGTTGATGCCGGTGAACAAAAAACTACCAACCCACTTGCATTTTCTAAGTTCACTGCTTAAAATCGTGGGGCTCTGTAATCAGATCCCTGAGTGTTGGGGGTTTTGTTTTGGAGGGAGGGGGTTGTTTTTTGTGTCTTTTTTGCAGAGTTGGGGGTGGAACCCAGGGCCTTGCACATGCTAGGCAAGTGCTCTCCCACTGAGCCAGGCTTCCAGCCCAGGTTCCTGAGTTTGGATCTTGACTGCCTAGATCCTTAGGAGCCTTCTAACCAGGGCAAATCCCAAGAGTCCTCAGTGTCTCATTTTAAATGTCCATAATAAATGGAAAGACAACAGGGTTTGTTAGTTTAAGAGTCTGGAGTTCTGAGACAGACTGCCTCAGCACAAATCCTGGCTGTACCACTTGCCAACCATGTCACCTTGGGCAGGGACTTTACAGGACTATGCCTCCATTTCCCCCCCTCTCAGGCTGCAGGGGTCCTACGTGGAAGACACTTCTAGCTGTCAGTGCCTCTTTTACTCACCAATCAGGGGGCTAGGAGATTTAACTGAAAAATGTTAGCACAGACAGAGGAACGGTCTTTCCCTCTTCTTCTGCCTAATTTCTTCTCTTCAGGTCCAAGTTTAAAAATTTCCTCCATATAGAAGCCAGCCCTGGTTTCCCGTCTTCGTACACCTGAGGTTAGGTTTCTCACCTGTTTTCTCGCTGTGCATTCATCACAGGTGTGATTAATTAGTTACTTGATGACAAGTAGTCTTTAATTAGCCAGAGAGGTGAAATAAAAGCTGAAGGGGTCAGGCAATGGCAAGGTGTGCAGCAGCCCAGCAGCTGATCAAGAGGGAAGAGCAGCCGGCACCAGCCAGCAGCCAGTCCCTGCAAGGTCCAGGTGTGGCCAGGAGCTGGCCTGGTTCTCACTGGTCCACCATGTCCTTTTCCTGTTGAACATAAACAGTTTCACAGAACATCAGCATCAGACCAGGACATGTTGTGACTATTTTGGAGCAGGACCAGAACAAGACCACTCTGCCACCGTGGCTGAGTTCAGAAAAAAAAAAAACAGGGACATTGTCTGAGCCTCCCTTCTTTACCTATTACGAGTTTTAGCTGTAGTCTAGTCGTTTCTCCCTCTCAATCCTGTTCATTAAGATGCACATCACAGAGTCACCCTTGCTTCCTCACAGCTTCCAGTGCAGGCTTTCCCCATACATACATCTAACATGGTGGAGGTTTCCTCGATGCAACCAGGGGTGTGTCCCTTGTGATCTTTAGCCAGAGGATATCAACATAAGGAAGGCCCAGCCACATAATTGATTTTGAAAGCCTTAGGACAAAATCTGAAGGCCCAACTTGGCTTGTGAGCCCCAAATTAGTGGTTCTAGGCTTAAATCTCCCTGCAAGCAGCGACCTAGTCAGTCTTGTTTTCCTGTCCCCAGCAGCAGGCCTGGC